CTCTTCCCCTTCCCCACACTCTCTTGTCCTCTCTCTTTCTCTCTCTCTACATATATAAATATATATATATAAATCTTTTCTTCTTTTGTCATTCAATCAAATTCCAACAACCCAACCAGGGCCAGTCAAATCCACCACAGTCTCGCGCTGAGCTAGGAATAAAGTTCACGTAATCACATGAGAGTGGAGAAAACAGTCCCCCATCCGTAAGTTCAAATCAACTCAAAGTTCACAGTGTGACATGATGGCGTCATGTAACAAGGCTAAGAATCGGTTGCATGACAGTTGCCGTCAAGTTTCGTGGAGGTGCTGTGATTGGAGCGTTTTCCTTGGATGTTGTATCAGTTGATGATTGGCCAGTCATGATCACACGTGCATTTTCTTGACTTTTGTGCTGCCACAATCTTTTTTGCTGTGCTCATTTTTGTTTCGTTCTTGGTGCTTGCAGTGGTTTTACTTTCTGTTGTTTGGTTTTTCTTGTTCAGCGTTTTTTTATGCTTCTCTAGATGTCACATAGAGAAAAAAAAAACCAAAACAAAAAGAACAAAAAATCAGTAAAAATAAAGATGAATTCCTGAATTTTCCAACATGGGATCACTTAACTGTGCAAACCATTATTTTTTTTTTCTTAAAAATAAGGAAAACATCTTAAAAAATATCTATGCGTGGTTGATTTACTTGCACTTGAAAATATTGTGATTTTATTTTTTTCTAGAAATTTGGGGGCCTTTTTCAATTGACGCTTTCTTAGGTCTGGTCTTTTTCAGTTAGGTTATTTTAAATCTCACTTCAAAAGGAAAAAAAATACAAAAAAAAAATCTCTACAGTAATAGAATGATAAAAAAAAAAATTCTAAATCAAAAACCTAGAGTACAAAGCCAGAGGCCTCTGAGAGAGAGCCCGGTAACAATTGTAAGGTTTGTATTGTAGCACTTCTGCTAAATTAAATGTTGGGAGGGGAGGTGGGGGCCGGGGGCTGGGGAGGGCTTTTTGGTTGGTTTGGAAAAAACAGTTCTGACAAAAGCAAAATGCACCTTTTTGTTTACAACTGAAAAAGGGTCCTTGACAAGTGTTTTTTAATTTTTTTATTATTTTATTTGGTGTTGTAATTGTTTAGACTGCTGTGTACGGTTTGCTGTTTGTTGAATCAACAGTGTGAAAAACCTGCCAGCATGGATTGATATACGCATGACCTTGTCCCCTCCACTGGGGGCTTTGCAGTTCTAACTTTCTTGATGTAACCAGTCACCCCCATGTATCAGTGGAAGCTGCTTGCTAGAATGGAGATGAGTCTCATTTGTTAATTCACAATGATTAAGCATTCTCCTTCTGATTCTAGTCAGATCATGATTTTTTTTTCTTAAAAGCAAAACACCAAAAAGCCACTATTCAAAACAAATTGAGAACTGAGTTAATTTAAGTTTGATGATTAAATCTGCTCTAACTTCTTTTAGGTTCTCCCATCCACTCCCTTGCAGTTCTGAATTTCCTCTAAATTCCCTGGCATGTATGAGAAAATTATGTGTGTGTATGTAGGTGTGTATCTATGCATATACATACACACATAGCCATGTATATCCACATATGTGCAGGTGAATCTATTCTACACATATATCCAGATATACATATATATACATAGCCTCGCAAATAGTTGCTTGACCTCAGGAAAGAAGCAGTTGGCTGGGAACTGGGCAAGGATCCTGCAAAATTCATGTCACAGATCTGTCCTTCTTCTTTATCCTCGAGTGGGGAGGAGTGGGCTGGGCTATTAGATTTCTGCTGCTTTGTTTGCTAGGCTTCTGTATACATATTGTATCTGGGCTAGATCCCTCAGAGATCAGTTTAATTCTGAATTCATATCCCACAGTCCCAAATTCTCCCCTTAGATCTAGCCATCCCCCAATGAACTCTGAAGGAACCCAAATCTAGACCTCTCTCCCAACAACCAAACCTCAGCTCTGCCCATCCCCACGAACCCTCCCAGTGGTTTCTTGCTCTGAATAGAAGAGTTGATTTCTTTCTTATGCATCATGATCATGACTAATTCTCATGCTGGTCTCTTCCCTCCCTCCCACCATTCCCAGAGTTCCCACCCCTGACACCCACAGGCAGGCTCCTTTTGGTGTTTGGATGCCTTTTGTGTTTCCTCTCGTGGCTTAATCAGCCCTGATTTTCTTCATTTTAGGGCAGGATGCTGAACGGGCTACATTAAAAAACAAACCTCTCTCTATATATATTTATAAATGAGAACTGTTGGATGACACCTTTGACATATCAGCCAATATCAATCAAGCTGAAGACTCCAGACACTCTCTGTGACTGTAACATTTCTTCAAGGGAAGTATAGCGTCTATGGAGTTCAGAGGGCACGTGTTTGGGGGAAAATATATTGACATAAAGAAGAAGATGATGAAGACAAATGAGAAAAAATAACACAAAAAAAGGCAACTTTAAAACAAAATAACTTGAGACCAGATGGGGAGGCTGAGGGGCTGGGAGCTGGGAAGAGACGCTGCTTACCGATCCCCGGGGCTTTTCCAGCCCGTGGGCGCCTGAGGCAGGCTGGGGCAAGCGGTGTGGTGGGGCCTGGTCCCCAGGGGGCGGCTGGGAGGCCGCGCAGAGCATCTCTATCTGTCATTCCTTTAGCTATTTAGGGACCAAAGGACCAAACTTTTTATTGCAGATGTGTAGCTCTATGTCAAATAGAGGGGGAACGGAGGAGAACCTCCTTCCTGCCTCATGGCTGTTCTTGGAACAGCTTAGAGCGATTCTATGAAAAAATGTAATAAAAAAATTAAAAAAAAAAACAAAAAGAAAAAAAAGAAAAAATAATGCTTCAATGCTTTTAAAACAGCAAGATAATAGTTCTTTGATACTTCAAGAGGCGCTTTGATTACCCTCATTCAAGTCTATGACACTTTCCTATGGTTTTCTGTATTATATGTCTGGATGGAGCTGTTGAGATGAACAAATTGGTGGATATTTGGGGAAAGCAACAAAAATATTCAAACTCATTAACCGTGAGGTGTGAGACAATAGAGGGGAAAAAAGGGACTTACAAGGCAAGATAATTGTTGTGAAAAGTCTGTAAATGCTTCTAACTCTTCCCCCTCTTAAAATCATAATAGTTGTACAGAATTTTAAAAAGGAAAAGTTTAAAATACCTATATAATAGAAGAAAAATTAGAGGAAAGCAAAAAATAAAAAAAAATAAAAAAGGAAAAAAAAAACCTATAGAAGTTAGCGTTACTGCTAAAATCCCAGATGTTGTAGGACTGTCCTTTTGTAGAGTTTAGACTGAGCATCAATCCCTTCTCCCCGCGAGTGCTGTCGGACACCGTTGTCCCGAGGGCCAGGTCCACTCGCCAGACCTGCGGGCTCCTGCTGCCCACGCCGGTGGAGGCCGCGCCAGGCCGGGAGGCCCAGCCGCACCCTCGCCTCGCCTCGCCTCGCTTCGCTCCGGGAGCTGCGCGCTCGCCCACTCGCTGCAAGCCCTCCACACCTTCCGCTTCACTCGCCTTCCATGCTTGCTCCAGAGACTTTCCGGGCAAGGGAGACCTGGGAACTTTCATCTTAAAACAACTAAGCAACACACACACACACAAAAACCTTAAACAAGAGAGAGAAAAATAAACAATCTTTGAAGAATTTCTGAAACTGTTTACAAGGAATTTTGAAAAACAGGGATGTTTAAATGATGCCGGCTCTGTTTTTCTGTAAATAAATTTGCATATTTTGTAGGACTTTTAATTGTAATGATAGAGAAAAAAACAAGGAAAACTATTTAATGAAAGCACGATATTTATCTTTGGTAAATGACTTTAGAGCAGTTAAAAAGACATTGCTTAAAAATCTCAGAATCAGAAAAAACACTGAATTATTTAAGAACACATATATTTTAAAGTATAACATATTTATTATAATTTATTTGCACCGTTGGGAAGACTTGCTTTGGCATTTTGCCTCGACACCCTCCTCATTGACGCCCAGCTCACCTGGAGGTCAGGGAGCGCTCGGACCTACCATGTTTTTCCTTTTTTGCTTTATAAGAACAACTATCTGGTTCCTCTCAGGCCTCCTGCCTTTCTTTCTGTCTCTTTTGTTGGTTAATTATTATTTTTAAATTTTTCTTTTTCTTTCTCTTGGCTCCTCCTTTTAGGATGTCCAGATGTTGTAAAAAAAAAAAAAAAACAGCTGCAGTTCTGTACAACTGCTCTTTTCACACTCAACTCCCTAAAACTCCTTGTAACCTTCTGTAACTATTGGATGACGCTTTCTCCAGCTTAGCCCTAAATAAAGCACAGTTTAAAAAAAAAAAAAAAGAAAAGACTGTTCTTCAGTGGTCTGTGCTCCATGCAGTTTGGCCAGCCCTGTGGAGGGCCTTGCAGCCCTGAGGCTGGAGGTAGCTTTGTCCTCTCCAGGGAGCAAGTCTGCTACCTGGGCCCTCTGAGCCTTCCAGCTGGGAAGTGATGGGAACCATAAAAGGAAGTTCTGTTCCACAATGAGAAAAACCTCTCGGCTGGTATGTGTGTCTCTCAAAGTCTTCATTGCAAACCTATTCCTTTGGCTCCTGGGCAGGAGTGGACACTGTCCTCCAACACCACAGGTCTCCCTTTCCTCCTGGCAGCTCACCTGAGTTGGGGTGGGGGTGGAGCGCTGTGAGGAGTGTGGGAAGGAGCAGGAGGAGGAGGGACATGACCCTAAACTTGCCACTGACCATTGTGTTCCTGGTCCTGCACCTTCTGCCTTGTTGACCGTTTGACTGGATGGAAGGAGCTGGAATCTGGGAGGTGGCTTTGGTGTCAGGTTCTGGTGGGAGGGAGGTGGAGGGGAGATCAGGCCCCACCCTGGGGAACTTCCTGGCCTACTATGACATAATGCCAAACCCTGAAGAGGAAAGTTTGAGAAAGCAGGTATGGTGGATATTGTGGAATGGGGAGCTCTGGAGAAGAAAAGACACAAACCAGGACTGGGGGAGGGATGGTGGGAGGAGGGGCAGTGCCTCGATGCTGAGGACCCTTCCCCGCTTTAGCCACAAGCCTGCATGGGGCCTGTCCTGGGGACAGATCTTAGTCCTGCCTGCCCCGGCAACATGCACAGAAGACACCCATCCAGTGTGTCCATCTCCTTCCAGGGCTGAGAACAGAGGGGCTGCCTCTGCCACAGGTGAGGAGCTGACCAAGAAGCCATGGTTCCGGACCCCTGGTTGGGGCCTTTGCCTGTCCGTGCTCTCCTGCGGGAGAGTGGGAAGGTTTCAGCCATCACCTGTTCTGTGAAGGGGGAGTGGTGGCCAGCATGGGTCAGCCTCACGTTCCATGTACTCCGCCATTTCTCTCCTGTGTAATGTCAGACTGGGGAGAAACATCTTCATGTGTCAGGAAATGAGGGCAGGCCATCAAGCCTTGACTTAAATGTGGACATGGTCCCAGGATGAGACCCTTGTCCTCATCATTGTCCTGTGAACGAACCCACACTTCTGCCCACTGGCTGTAATGGCAACAACCTGTTCTGCCCCTTGTCAGGAGCCTGAGGGGAGCTAACTTCTTGATAAGAATTTGCTTCAAAGGACTGGATGTCCCATTGGGTGTTGTGAGGAATGGAAAGAAGTTCTCTAGGTTTGGAGCCTCCAGCTATTCAAACCATGGTTTCTATTGGACTTTGGCCACTGAAAGCCCACCACTGTGGCAGAGGACACCAGCCTTAACACCCCTGACTGTCTCTCTCGATGCCAGGGAGCCTCTGGCCGATTTCCAAACTGTTCCCAGGCCGCTCCTACCTCTCTGTCCCAGATCCCCTGACCCCTGCAAATATACACACTGTGCTTTCCTAAGCCTTTGCTGTTTGCCTTTCGGGGGGCACAACCCTCCCCTACTTCTTTGACAAGGTTACAGCTCAAGGGCAGTGGGGCCCTGTGAGCAGGACCCAGGCAGCGGAGCTGTGAAGTGAGTCAGTTTCTCTCTGTTCCAGGCCTGGTTGAGCCCAGTAACACAGGACCCAGAGGCTCTGTGACCTAAGGGGATGTATAGATTCCTTGAAATCCTGCTGGAAACTATCAGGTCACTTTGCACACGATTACAGGGACTTGGGGGTCATGCTCTGGTTAAGAACCCTGATTTGCAATGTTATTTAAGAAACCCCAAGACACAATTCCTAGTAACTTCTGTTTGTATTCTTCTGCTAGTATTCTACCTGCTGTCTGTGATTTCTGCATGGTTCTCCTCTTTTAAAAGTGTTCTGTTATCATAAGCTCTTCATTTGTTACACGATGGACAAGTAGAGATACCTCTTGCATAAGGAACGCCATTGTCCCCACCACCTCCAACATGTGTCCAACTCCTGAATTGCTTTGATGCAAACTGCAGATGCCAAGTCATCTCACTGGCAGGTACCTCAGTTTCCCCATACCGGTGCACAAGGGGGCACTGCTGTGCAAAGACTGACTCTGGTCTGTGGGCAGCCTGCTGTACCCTGGTGCTGGCAATGGAGGGAACTCAGAGGCTTCTGTGCAGCTGCTCCTGGGTGAGCAGGGACAGGAGTGGGGAGGTGTGTGTGTGGGGGGGGGGGGGCAGGGAGGTTGCCAGCAGTACTTTTAGAGAGCTTCCCACTCTATCCCTTGTTTTGTGCTATTATCTTTTCCCTCTTTTTCGTTCTCCTTCCCCGCTCCTTTCTGTGTAATGCTAATATGAAAAGAAGATGTCTGCTGACACCTTTAATAGCCTCATTCTCCTTCTGAGTTTCTGAGCTGACCCCACCCCCTCCTACACACGGAGTGCCAGGACAGCGGGACACAGACACGGCAGAGCTGCCACCCGCACGGTAGCCTCCAAGTCCGCTGCCTTTCAAGTTCTGGGCCAAGGGCTGCAGCTTCCTCTGCAGGGACAATGGTTCAGTCACAGCAGCTGGCACGCACAGGAGCGCTGCCACCTGGCTAGGTAGGTAAGGGCATCTGGGCAGTGAGCGCAGGGTCCCAGCCCTCCCAGGATGCCAGCATCAGACTCTGGATGCCATTGTCTAGCTCCCAAACTGGGACCCACCCGCACATGAAGATGGCTAGCTCCCACTGACATGCCACCTTCAACAGACCGCTCCAGGCACTCTGATATTCAGCCAGTGCTGATCACTGCCCGCAGGAATGAGTGGCTGTGGGAGGGAATGAGCAGCCTGCAGACAACGCATTTGCCCCACAGGCAGGTGTTGGGAAGCGCTTTTAAGTAATAGTAGCCCTTTGGGAAAAAGGGTTGAGCCAACACTTGCTTTCCCAGATGAGTATTTGCAAATATATGCTTTTTGCTTCTTGGAGTCCTCTTTCTTCTACCCCTCTCTGTCCTCCCTTCTCCATGACAATCCTGTTTTTTTTTTTTTTTTAAGAGTTGTTTATTTATGCACACAGAACTGGGGTACAGGCAGAGGTGCAGGAAATGAGAGGATTCACCAGAGACAGAGTGGGGAACAGAACAGGCAGATGGACTGAAAAAACACTGCTGAGGGGAGCAGTGGGCTGGTCAGGAGAGGTCTGCTGAGCCATGTGGGTCACCTCCCCGGCCAGGAGTGAACTTGTGCTACAGTGGCTGCAATAGCCCCACAGTGCTTAGCTTTAACCCATTGTGTGCTGTGCTTTAACCAGTTGTGCCACCCGGAGGGCCGACCCCACCCTGACAGTCCTTTGGTTACCTGTGCGCCCCTCCCCTCCATCAGTCTGGTCCCCAGTGCTCCCAGGTGCCAGGCTAGCTATGCAGGTGGGAAGCTGGAGAGCGGGAACAGGCACTCCAGACCCCGCCTTATCACCCCAACCTTTCCTGCTGATCTAACTCCTTATCTCTTTCAAGAACTGGAGTAACCCCATCTCTGATTTCACCCTTTGTGGAGGAAGGTGGAGACTCAGTGGTAGCTAAGTGTGACCTGAAGTGGTACCTCAGTATGAAAAAGCATAGATTTTAACTTCAGAATGAGATGTAAAGCCCAGTTCTCTTAAATACCTTCTGTACCACTTTGGAGATGCTATCTAACCTTTCTGAGCTGCCACTTCTTTATCTCTAAAATGCGGATATGACATCCTTCTGAGCGATGAGGAGTAAATGAGATGGACACAGCTACACCCCACCCCAAGGGTTCTCGGAGTTGTAGTCTTTCAGAGTGCAGGCACTCCAGATGAAGAGTCCGGCTC